TGCATGGCTGGAGTGTTGTGGGGATCGAACTACAGCAAACTGAGGCTGCCAGCATTGTGGAAGCAGCCACTTAAAGAACTGAGCTAGGGCTGGGCCCCCCTGAATAAATAATCCTTAAGAAAAAATACATTTGATTGCAAAGGCTTTGCATATGGGGGTAACTTGCAATACAAATTCTGATGATAGAAGAGCAAGGGCCATTCCTAGGTTGGGACTCACCCAGCCCTTTCTTGGGCATTATACATCCTTGGGAAGCCCATTTGTAACTGTGGATAAATATAACGAGTTTGAGTCAAGCAGCACAGATCGGGGAGTTCCTTCTGTATCAGTACTCCTCACATTCTGCTGTATGTCCAGATCTGTTAAGGATCTTGTGAAAGTACAAATTCTGCTTCAGTAGTTCTGAAATACCCCCTCTCCCATCTGCATTTCTATAAATCTCCACGTGATACCTATATTGCTGAAACTGTCCTGAAATTCTGGACAGGCCTCAGTCAAATCTGCAAAGGCTGAAATAAGAAAGGAATCTGATTAAAGAGCCTGCTTAAGCAGATGCAGGGACTGGGTTTGATCCCCAGTGTGCTGTGCTGGCCCCGCCCCTGGGGTGTGCTGAGCCAGCAGTTGAGACTGGGCGTGGTGGCACATGCCTGTAATCCCAGCACTTGGGAGGCTGAAAACAGGAGAATCAGTACAAGTCCGATATGTGTAGACCCTGTACTAAATACACACACACACACACACACACACACACACACACACACACACAGAGAAGGGATGGCATTCTAGTACCCATTAGGGAGAGTGGCCCCCTGTGCTTGGCTGGGGCTTGCTAAATACTGTCACTTATTCAGAACCTGTCTCATCACTGGCTTTTAGGTCCATCTTCCCTTTGGAAATGAAAGGAGAGAAAGCAAGAGCTTCTCCCCAGATGGCTAAGCCCACCCTCTGATTCCCCACCTTGGCACAGCTCCAGGGAGTCTCATGACCGCGCTCATCCTGTCCCAAGGTACTGCTTAGGCGAGGCGCTTTTCCAGCTGGCTGACTTCAGCCCCCACAAGCACGGAGGAAGTTAGTTTAACTCTCACATTCCTGAGATGCCTCACTATCTCTCTGAGGTATCTCTCCAGAAAATTTTCCACTGTTTGGGAAGTACTCTTTGGCGCTGACCACCCACAGAAGTTATAGTGATGCGTTTACTCACTAGACAATCAGTGACCCAGAAAAAGGTCATGGCTTGTTTTGCCTTTATTTCACTTTGCAACTCTTCCTCTGATTCCTTACCCACCTCACCTGCTTGCCTATTCAAGTTTTGGATTCCCTGGCTGCAGAAAACTCAGACTTGCCTTTTTTATAAAAAATTAATTAATTTATTTATTTTGTGTGTGTGTGGCCCGTTCAGCCCACCAGGGGGCGGGGCTGGCTGGCATGTGGTGCTGGGGATTGAACCACGGTCCCTGCGCTTTGCTTAGCTTAGCTTGTTCTAAGTAGGTGCTTTAGACCACTGAGCCATCTCACCACCACCAGACTTGCCTTATTAAGTAAATTTTCTTTCTATAAAGGCAAAACATATTAATTTGAAAATTTAGAAAGTGCAAATAGCAAGAGAGAAGATGATATCCACTGCCCAGAGTCTTCAGTCTTCATGCATAAGTCCTGCTTCATGAAACCTGGCTCATACAGTACATGCTGTTATGGAAACTGCTTCCCCCTCCTCATGGAATACGCTGTGGCCATTTTTCTATGTCAGCAAGGTTCTTCTGCATTCATTTTAAATGATTATGTAGATTCCTACTTAGGAGTAACTGGTAGGATTTTAGTTGTTTCCAATCATTGAGTTGTGGTTAAAATTGCAATGGACATCTTCACTCCACCAAAGTATATCTTTTGGATACTTCTGGGGAATTAAATTACCAAGTCACAGTCAACTTCATGGCTCGCACTGGTCTTGCCAAGCTAGAAAGCATGACTTCTGACTCTCAAATATAAATCAGATCCATTGAAATATATCAGGGGCTTGACTCCCTGCCGTTAGTACACCAGTAATGATAACAGGAATCCTGTTGAGAGCTGAGAGGATCCTCAGCCCATCAACAATCATCCCTCTGTAATACACTCAGAGAATTACTAAGAGTTCTTTTTAAGCTCTAAAATGTCAAGTCCATGATTCTCTCTCTCTCTCTCTCTCTCTCTCTCTCTCTCTCTCTCTCTCTCTCTCTCTTTTCTTTCCTACCTCTATTCCTCCTTTCCTCCCTATTCCTTTTTCTTTTCTGGTTTCTGAGAGAAGGCCTGGTTATGTAGTCCAGCCTGATCTCAAATTTATAGTAATCCTCATGCCTCAGCCTCCCAAGTGTTAAGATTACAAGTATGAGGGCCAGGGAGGTAGCTCAGTAGAATAGACACTTGCCTGGCAAGCACAAGGTCCTGAGTTCAATCCCCGGTAGCACACATACACACACACACACACAAAAACCACATTACAAGCATGAACCACTACCCTGTGGTTCCACTATTTTATTTCATACATGTACAATTCTAGGCTAAAATAAAATCATTTCTGCATTTATTCTTTTATCCAATATGTATAAATTTAAAAGTAAATAGGAGGGGCCGGGGAGATGGCTCAGTGGAGTAAGCGCTTCCCTGGCAAGTGCAAGGACCTGAGTTCAATCCCCAGTTCCGAAAAAAAAAAAAAAAAAAAGTAAATAGGATTAAGTAATAGGATTAAGTCAATAGGTGATTAGTTAAGTAGTTTATCATATAGTCATTCAATAAAATGTGATGTAACCATTAAAAACAGAAAACCCTATATAGTAGTACAGAATGCTATCTCATATTATTGTCAAGTGAGGAAAAAAGGTACACAGAATAGTCTATGTAACTTTTTTTTTTTGTATTTTAGGGAAGGGTTTACAGGGTGTTCAGGGTCTCACTACTAGATCGGACTCAGAGTGATCCACCTGTTAACAGCCTCCCAAGAGCTGGGATTACAGGCACACCCCAAAACACCCAGGCTCAATTGCCCTCAGTGCACCCTGGGGTGGGGCTGGAATGACAGGCCTGGGGATCAAACCCTCAGCCCCTGCGCCTGCTTGCAGGTGCTTTAATCCACTGAGATATTTAACCAGCCCTAATATGTACATTTGGGTAACAGCAAAAAGATAAATACACAGACCTTTTGCCATAGACGTTTTGTTTGTGTATATATTAGCATCTTTGGAAAGTTACAGAGGAAACATAATGCCTTAACTTCCGGGAGAACTAGGTGGCTGGGAGGAGAAGATAATTTCCTTTGCACAATCAAAGCTTTCACATATTAAGCCATGTGACCTCAAAATAATATTGGAGTGGCCAGCAAGACAGGTCAGAGGACTAAGCACCTGCTTAGGCAAGCTCAGGGACCACGGTTCGATCCCTGCACCACATGCCATGCCGGCCCTTCTTCCAGGGCAGGCTGAGCCAGCCAGAGTCCAGGCATAGTGGCTCATGCCTGTAATCCCAGCACTGGGGAGGCTGAAAGCAGGACCACCACAAGTCCGAAATGCATAGTGAGGTCCTGCAACAACCAAATACATTAAGAATAAACAAATAAAATAAAACAATAATATTAGAGTTTAATGCTCCCTTCAGCAGTAAAAATACAAAATAATATTAGATTCTAAAAAAA